AACAGAAATCAGATTTGTTTGACAACTTCTATCTTTCATGAATCACTTCAGTACTGCTCACTGGTTACTAGATGTTGCTGCGCATCATTATTCATTACACAATCTAGGAGGGGGGGTAGTGGTACAGGAGGAAGTGGCTGTGGGGGATGGAGAGGTAGGAGGAATGAAGGAGAGCAGCAGTTAGGTGAGGGTGGGGTAGGCTTCCCTGAAGAGGTGGGTTTTCAGGGAGCGCCTGAAGGTGAGGAGGGAAGGTGACAGTCTGATGGATTGGGGTAGTGAGTTCCAGAGGATGGGGGAGGACCTGGAGAAGTCTTGCAGACGTGCGTGTGAGGAGGAGACCAGGGAGCAAGATAGGAGGTGCTGTGAAGAGCGAAGGGTACGGGTAGGGTGGTACTTGGGAATCAGGTTGGTTAGGTAGTCAGGGGCAGTGTTTGTGAACGGCTTTTGTAGGTCAGAGTGAGTAGTTTGAATTTGATGCGTTGGGTGATAGGGAGCCAGTGGAGGGATAAGCAGAGGGGGGTGGCAGAGGTGGAGCGGTGGTGAGGTGGATGAGTCTAGCCGCTGAGTTCAGGATGGTCTGAAGAGGGGAGAGCCTGCACTGGGGTAGGCCGGTGAGGAGGGAGTTGCAGTAGTCAAGGCGTGAGATAATCAGGGAGTGTACGAGTAGTTTAGTGGTGTCTGGGGTAAGGAAGGTGCGTATTTTGGCGATATTAGCGAGGTGGAGCCCTGCATGTGTTTGTAAGTGATTTGACATGAGGTTGGAAGGAGAGGTTAGAGTCCAGAATGACTCCACGGACTTTGGCTTGCGGGGCGGGATTGATGGTGGTGATGTTAGTAGTGATGGATAGGATGGGGGGGGGGCGCGGGCAGGGGGGAAGACGAGAAGCTCGGTTTTGGAGAGGTTAAGCTTGAGGAAATGGAGCGACATCCAGTCAGAGATGTCGTTTAGGAGGTGAGTGATGCGGGTGGGAGAAAGTGGGGGTGAGGTGGGGGGTGAGAGGTAAATTTGAGTGTCATCAGCGTAGAGGTGGTAGTTGAAGCCGTGGGAGTGTATGAGTTTGCCAAGGCAGGAGGTCGTAGATGTAGAAGAGAAAGGGTCCAAGGACAGAGCCCCTGGGGGGACCCCAACAGAGAGGGGGAGGGAAGGGGAGGTGGCACCATTGTAGGAAACGCTGAAGGAGCGTCGGGGATAGGTAAGAGGAGAAACCAGGAGAGAGCGGTGTCTCTGTGTCAGGAATGGACTTGCCAGTAATGGTGGGACTCACCTGCCTTGTGGGCTGCAGTACCAGGGCTGGCCAGCGGGTGCTCCCAGCAATCAGAGACTCAACCCTGCAGCCAGCCAAACACCTGAAGTTGATTATGCAGGTGTATTTAAGGGATGGCCAGACCTGCAGTCTCTGCTTTGGTGTGTGTTTTTCCTGGGCCCTGTATCTTGTTCCTGCATCCCTGTCCCTGTCTGATTCATTGCTGACACTGCCTGATCCGGACCTCTGCTGACTTCTCCTGTTTTATCCCTGGCTTGTGACCCCGACCATTCTCTGCCTGACCCCCTGTACCTACCTGCCCGATTGTTATTGACCCGGCCTGCCTGACGACGCTTGCATTGTATGTACTGTTATCTGTGGGTGGTTTGGTTCGTTTGCACTGTTATGTTTTAGTATTGCACTGCGTTTATGTTTGTATTGTTAGTCTTTAATAAATTATATTGTTTATAACTTATCTGAAGCCTGCGTTTCCCTGCGTCAGTTCACATACCTCTGGTCATACCCTGGAGCTCTGACACTCTGATGCCAAGGGAGAGTAGTTTATTAAGGAGGAGGGGGTGGTCAACTGTGTCGAAGGCCGCGGAGAGGTCCAGGAGGAGGAGGACAGAGTAGTCGCCTTTGGCTTTGGCAGTTAGTAGGTCATTGGTGATTTTGAGGAGGGCGGTTTCGGTGCAGTGTAGGGGACGGAAGCCGGACTGTAGGGGATCAAGGAGGTTGTTGTCAGTTAGGTGGGCGCTTAGGCGGTCGTTAGACTAAGCGCTCCAGGAGTTTGGAAGTGAGTGGCAGCAGGGAGATGGGTCTGAGGTTGTTTGGGTCAGAGGGGTCCAGGGAGGGCTTTTTGAGTATGGGGGTGATGTGCGCATGCTTTAGGGGGGAGGGGAATACGCCGGTAGAGAGGGAGAGATTGAAGATGTGGGTGAGGGAACAGATGAGGGAAGAGAGGGGTGACCGGAGGAGTCGAGAGGGGATAGGGTCCACGGGGCAGGTAGTGAGGCGGGCTTCTGAGAAGACCCTGGTGACTTCCTCAGTGGTAGTGGGGCTGAAGGAGTGCAGAGCTGGGGGGGGGGTTACGATAAGTGGGTCTTGGGTGTGGAGGGGGGCAGTGCGGTTGCGAGGTCAGAGGAGGGAAGAGATAAGGGGGAGATAGGGGGGGAGGCTAGGTGGGGAGGTAGATTGCGAGTTGACTATGTCCTGACGGATTGCATCAATCTGTTGTGGAAATGAGTGGCAATTTCGCTGGTGGTGGTGAGTGAGGTACTGAGTGGAGGAGGGGGGGAGAGAGTAGGGAGTTGAAGGTGGAGAAGAGTCGGCGAGGGCAGGAGGAGAGGGTGTTGATCAGGTTTACGAAGTAAGCCTGCTTGGCGGCGTGGAGGGAGGAGGTGTAAGTGAGGAAGGCAGATTTGTAGAGGGAGAATGAAAACGGGGGGTCCTGGTTTTGCGCCATAGTCTCTCTAGCGCGCGACTGCGGCGTTTGAGGCATTTAGTGTGGTCGCTCTGCCATGGTTGGAGCGGTCTAGGTTTGATGTAGCGTGTGGTTAGGGGTGCCAGAGAGTCTAGGGTAGCTGATAGTGAGTCGTTGTACGTGGTAGTGGCTAGGTCAGGACATGACAGTGGAAGGATGCTGTCGTGTAGGCGGTCGGCAGCTGAGTGGAGGGGGGGCCGGGTTCAGGTTGCGGAGGTTGCGGCTGGTGATGGTTTGGCGCTCTGGGGGGGGGGAGTTAGGGGAAGGGGAGATGGAGAACGTGAGGAGGTGGTGGTCGGAGAGAGGGAAGCTGGTGTTAGTGAAATGGTTGAGGGTACAGAGGTGGGAGAAGACGAGGTCCAGGTATCCGGGAGGCCTTCAGATCACTGCGATCCTTAGGGGGGTGGGGTGTGAAGAGCCGGATACAGTGAGCCTCAAAGGAGGAGAAGGTTAGGGAGGGGGGGTTAGGGAGGACCTGGAAGGTGCTCAGCGGTGATAGGAGCAGGCCGACACCACCACCTTTGTGACCGCTCAGTCTTGGTGAATGGGACCAGACGAGACCTCCATAGGAGAGTGCTGCAGAGGAGGTGGAGTCAGTGGCCTGTACCCAGGTTTCGGTGATGGCTAGGATGTTAAGGGAGTGGGAGATAAAGAGGTCATGGATGGCGGTAAGCTTGTTGCAGACCGAGCGGGCGTTCAGGAGTGCAACCGAGAGAGGAGGGATGGATGCGGGGAGAAGGGGCACAGGTATGAGGTTGAGGGGGTTACGGCAGCTGGCGGGAGCAGGAAGGTCCCTAGAGGGGTGAGGTGGTGAGGGGCCAGGGTTCGGGAGATGTCCCCAGCGGATAGGAGAAGGAGAAGGGTGAGGAAGGTGGCATGGGGATGGGAAGTGCAGGAGCGTGTGGGTCTGATAGTGGTAGCACGTGGGTCGACGGGGGAGTGGAGTAGCAGGAGGAGGTGGTGAGTGCCGTAGTGGGGAGAGGGGAGAAGTGAAGGGGCAATGTAGAGCTGTTTTGGGGGGGTAGGCGGGTAGAGGGAGGTGATTTTTGGGATGGTGGAGAGGAAAACGAGGAGGAGGAATGCAGGTGGCATGTTGGGGTGGGTGGAGTGACGGTTGGGTCAGGGGAGGTGAAGGGATACAGGTCAGGGCAAGGTGGTGTGGGGAATCTGTATCACCGTGGGAGAGTCATTTGAGTCCTTCTGTAGGGGTAGAGTGAGGGTGGAGGGTGGTATTCCTCACTACATTGCTTGCTAGAGATTACAGCAGATCACTACTGTTTACTGATTGGTTGCTAGAGGTCACTGCACATTATTACTGCTCACTTATTGGTTGCTATTGGTTACTGTGCATCATTACCACTTATTGATTGCTAGAGGTTACCGCACACCATTACAGCTCACTCATTGATTGCTAGAGGTTACAGCACTTATTACATCTCCTGATTGGTTGCTGAAGGTTACAGCAAATCATCTCCTGCACACCATGGACTGAGAAGGTGAGGGGACCCACCAATACACAGAAAACTCGTCAGGATTCCAGGCCTCCTGGGATCATGGCAGTGCTGGCTGGGGGCGGAGGGGGGTAAATGGCAGTGCTGGGGGGTTGATGGGATCAGTGGGGGGGTGGGATAAGTGGCAGTGCTGAGGGTATGGGATGAGTGACAGTGCTGGTGGGGGGGGGGGGGGATTAAGTGGTAGTGCTGTAAGGGGGATTTACACTGACCAACAGTGTAAGGGCAATTCTGCACTTACCACCAATGTAAAGGGAAATGTACTCGGACCACCAATGTAATGGGGAATTTGCACTGACCACTTATTTAACCACTAGCCTACTGGGCACTTATACCCCCTTCCTGCCCAGGCCAATTTTCAGCTTTCAGTGCTGTAGCACTTTGAATTACAATTGGGCGGGCATGCAACATTGTACCCATATGAAATTTTTAGCTTTTTTTTTTTTTTTTTTAGACAGATATTTCTTTTGGTGGCATGTAATCACCTCTGGGTTTTTCATTTTTTGCTAAAGAAACCAAAAACAACAGAGAATTTTGAAAAAAAAAAGTTTTTTCTTAGTTTTTGTTTTAAAAGTTTGTAAATAAGTGATTGTTCTCCTTCACTGATAAGCACTAATGAGGCTGCAGTGATGGGCAATGATAGGTGGCACTGATGAGGAGGCATTGGTAGGTGGCACTGATGGGCATTGGCAGGCATCACTGATGGGCACTGAAAGGCAGCACTCATATAGGGCGCTCATATATGGCACTGATAGGCGGAACTGACTGGCACTGATAGGCGGCGCTGACGGGCACTGATAGGTGCCAATGACTGGCACTGATAGGTGGCACTGACTGGCACTGATAGGTGGAACTGATTGGCAGCACTGATAGGTGGCACTGACTGGCACTGATAGGTGACACTGGAAGGCAGCTCAGATGGGCACTGATATGTTGCATTGATGTGTACTCGTAGGCACTGATAGGTGGCATTGATGGACACTGACAGGTTGCACTGCTGGGGCTACACTGATCATCAGGGCACACTGTGTACATGTTCCCTCCGAGGAATGCCGATTACCGGCTTTCCTCTCCTCTCAAGCTGTCAGCGTGACAGATCGTGAACAGAAAAATGCCGGCATTACCCTACTTACATGTGATTGGACACAGCTGATCACATGACCGAGCCGAAATCTTCGGCTCTGTCCGTTGATCCGCTGTGTCCGAGGGAGCCGTGCATGCACGGTTAGAATGGGAAGACGTCATGTGACGTCCTCCCAGAACGAGAGAACTGCCTTGTGCCCATCATTGCCATATATGGCGGGCGGGAGGTGGTTAAAGGGGTTTCTACAAGGTCCACCATTGTAAGGGACGATTTGACACTGACCACAAATGTAAGTTAGGATTTTTTACCAGCTACCAATATAAAAAGGAATTTCTACACTGGCCACCACTGTAAAGGGGATTTACATTAACCACTAATGTAATGGGAGCATTCACAGTGACTACCAATGTAGGAAGGAATTTGCATTGATCACCAATGTAAGGGGGGCATTCACACTGACTACACCACACATGAAAAATCACTTTCTTGACACCACAGAAATGTTCTGCCCTTTAGTAGATACACAGGAGTGCCATTAATTGTTAATGACACCCTCACCCATCTGCTGACCTGCACCAAAATTCACAGTGCTGTGGCACTGTAAGGCTCGGTGTGAAAAAAGGGCCAGAGACTTTTCATCCACATTTTTCCTACACATGATGTATATCTTTTTCCACCCCGTCAGTACACCTTTACATCCTAAATTTCCCTGCTAACCTCTGCACCCCAAGCCTCCCCCATCCTCTCCACCCACCTTCTTTACCTCTGTATATTCCTTCCTTGCTCACCTGTGCACCCCAAACTGTAATTCCTTTTCTGCCTACCTCTACACCCCCCCCACACCTTCCCAGTGGGCACCATTCAGCAGAGGTGATGGTGGCTGGAACCTCAGGGGGGCATAAGATGCATATGAATACCAACGCTATTTGCATATGAATGCCACAATGCCACCACTATTTACATATGAATGCTGGTTAATGATATGTGAATGCTGACATGGTTTGCACACATGAGTCATCTGTACATGGAAATAGGGCAGAGCTGGGCAACATAAGTGACAGCACTTCACACTGAGATATCAGGACAAAGCCTTCAAGGTGCAAGGTTACGTAAAGCGGGACAGCTTTCCAGTATGGGGCAGCTGCTTTGGTCCCTTGCTGGCATGGACTCTTTCTAGCTCTGACACTTTGCTGACACAAAAAACTTTGCCACTGGCAATGATCAATGCCTCTGCTCCTGCCTGCCACTATTATTATTGTTGGCTGGACTGATGCTTTTGTTTGCACACAAAAGCAAATGGTGTTACCACATGGCTGCCACAGTTGCTGGAGCTGCACTGTCCTAGTTCTCTGTTATTTTCCAGTCCATTTGGTACACAGGGACTTCCACTTCCTCTCCAGTGCCCAGCTAACACTTTATAAATGCTTCAGTATTGCGCCTTAAATGCTACAGACACAGTTTTGACGCTCTAACATTGAAATGAATGGAGGTGGCTGACAAGCAGCAATGCATGTAAGTGACATGCTGCTTCATTTTTAGCACAGCACAACAATACCACACCTGTCTGTACTGCTCTGTGTGGTGCCAATCGTAATATGCATGACAGGTATTGAAGGGCAATTAAGAGGCTTTAACTGCTTCCCATCCACCCTATAGCAGAAATACTGCTACAAGGTGGCACGGGTGTGCAAAATCACGTATATACAGTGGGGCAAAAAAGTATTTAGTCAGCCACCAATTGTACAAGTTCTCCCACTTAAAAAGATGAGAGAGGCCTGCAATTCAAGTTGTTTCAGTGTAATCACCATTGTTGCATAATCATATGGTTTGGATGCTTTTTTTGTTTATAGCAAAAAAAATTTAAAATGTACAGGTGATCAAATACAACTAAAAGAAAGCTCTATTTCTGGGGAAAAAAGGATGTAATTTTAATTTGGGTGCAGCGTTGCATGACCGCGCATTTGTCAGTTAAGATAACGCAACAACGTAACACAAAAAATGGCCTGGTCAGGAAGGGGGGTAAATCCTCTGGAGGGCAATTGGCTAAATACACTGCTTAAAGTTGAACTATACTCACCTTCAGTCAAGCATTGTGGCATCGTGGAGCTCCCTGTCGGCCACTGACATCTTTGAGTGGCAGGCTTCCAAGTTGTGATCACTGATTGCTTTTATTTGCTAGGCCATTATGACGTTATTCCCATGAGTGAGCGGGAATTCAGTTAGCTTCAGAATTGCCAAATTTCTACAGTGAGCTGCATGTGCACAGCTCTCTTGTTCAAATATTTTATTGGAAGGCTTCAAGCCAGTTACAATTCCAATGCAGTAATAAAAAAAAAAAAAAAATTAACAAGGGTAACATAAGATCGGGACAGAGTATGAGATCAACAGGCAGAGATCGATTATGGTAATTTGTATCACATACAGGTACAATCAAGAAGGATGCCGGAATTCTTCCACCCGGCAGTAAACAATACATGGGTATGGGTATAACGCTCAACAGGAAAATGAGAAAACTGAAAAACAGGTATTGAAAAAACGTAGAGGACAATGAGATAATGGCAACAGGAGATACAAACAAAAAACGTCAGAATACAAAGAGCAGCGTGTCAATCTATATTAGGCTGGGGGTCATAGTATGGGTTAGGTATCTCGTGATCAGCTATGGGTAGCTACCACCTGAGGCAGCATGTAGAAAGGCAAGTAGGTGTACTAAGTATGACCAGGTTATACATAGGCTTGAAGAAAATTTAAGAGAAATAAAGAGGAGAGAAAAAAAACAAAGGGGGGAAGCGAGGAACAGGGACAAGGGGGTATGGGACAGAAAAGAGGGAGGGGGAAGGGGAAACAAGGAGTGATAGCATGTGGAGACATGGACAGGTAAGGGCGAAGGGAAGGAAAAGAGTAGTCAGAGAAAAGGAGGGGAGGGCAGAGGAAGAGAGGGAACAGGGGGGTAGCCCCAAGGGAAAGCTAGATCCTGTGGTTGAAAGGGGACCTAAGAGCATAGGTGGACTCAACATGGATAAAGCAAGGAATCATCAAAGTCGGGAGTGTGACGGATGCGGCGTGAGACCCTCAGCCCTTCTCACCAACTCGTGGCTGAAGGACTAGCCAATCTAAAACCGCGCTGTCACGTGCGTAACAACACCATGCTCAGCTGCACCCTGCACAAAGATTTTCCAGCTAATGGACCACAATCTATGTACCGCAGCCCGAGAGCGATTGTTTCTGGGTCAGGTTAATTACGTAATAATCGTCTGTATACACACTGTCATCGCAGGCAGATGTATATACACAGTAGTGCTCTTCAGAAACAGGAATTCTTAGTTTGCATTAAAGAGCTTTAGAAACAGTTCAACACTTTTCAGAAAATAGGATTTATTACTAAAAAAGGTCAAAATGGTGCAATAAAAATATTTAAAGAATAGATGTAGCCAATATATGTATATAAATACAGAGAGCAATACCACAGCAGAGAGATAACATAAAGAAGTTTAGAGAGGTAGGATACTTGCCGTCAGCCTTGGTTTAAGCAGCTTCAAGGGTCCTGAGCAAAAGATTGCCTTTTCTCCCAAAGTTGGTTCCTGATGTTAAAAGGGAGAATTCTTCAACTTACTGCTCCAAGCATAACAGCCTTTTTTCTAGGAACTCAGCAGGGTGTCTCCTTAAAGCAGAGAACCAATCGCCTCATTTGGGGAGGGGTGTTTTAGGCGGGGAACTCAGGCTATGACCAAATCCCTCGCAAGTTATACCATGGTCAATAACCTTCCCTAGGCACATTTAGCAGCCTAGCCACTAGTAGATTAATATGCAGAATGATATCCTGAACGTCCAGACATCAAATATGTCATATCTTACTATTTCAGCTAGAACTATATGGCTTTCTGCTCTCCTGTAGACTTTAACTATGGGTGTAAGATATCAGGCGACTCGCATTAAACTGAGCTATCCGAATATATGCTTTGTTTCATTGTAATTATTTCCTATCTTAAGATATGAAATTATATGGAAAAGGGGTTTTAAATAGGATGTCTGTTTTACTGTTATCTCAGAATGTCTTTCATGTTCAGTGAAGGACTGGTTTATAGCTTTACGATCCTCTCCAAGCAAGAGTCTCACAGACATACTGGGCCCAGGCTAATTGTGATTTATAACCATGAAGCTATCCCGCTGTGCCTGATTTCTGTGATCTCATCATACATACAGACCACATTTCTGAGGGAGGGGGATTGGAGGGAGAGAGAATGATACAAGTTGGAGGATCTGTAGCAAGATGAATGACCGCGTCCATCTCGGTACGTACAATTGCTACAGGGAGGTAAACAGTGTTCCATCCAGGGTTTCCAAAGACGTTCAAAAGTGCTCACTGTGCCTTGAATAACTGCCTCAAGTTTAGCATGAACCAAGGCTCTCGTGACCCTATGTTTGACTTCCAGAATGTGGAGGTGAGGGGTGTTCCATGCTTTAGCAATAGTTTGTTTTGCCGCAGTAGTAACTTGCAAGAATAGTTTATAACATACAAATGGGACATACCTTGTGGCTTCCTATTTAGGAGGGCAGTGGTTGTATCTGTATAAGAGTATAAGGGAGCATTGAGGACAGGATACTGAAAACCTCCGCCCATAAAATACAAACCAGGGGGCAGTGCTACCAAATGTGATAATAAGTGCCAGGATCCGGGCAGCCTCAAAAGCAAGAGGAGGGGTAGGAGGGGGGGAATTTAGTTATCCGAGCGGGAACCATGTACCAGCGCATGAGTACTTTATAATTTGTTTCCAAGGCTACTATATTTTCTGATGCTGATTCAGTATACAACCATATATCCTCCCATTCTGGAGGGTCTAAAACCAGGCCAAGGTCTCTCTACCAACTCTTAACATAGGATATGCGTGAAAGTGGGCGTGGAGATAGAAGGTGGGTGTAAAGTGTAGAGAGCATACCTCACGCGTGAGGATCACTTTTACATAGCCGTTCAAACTTGGTCATGGATGGAGTAGTAGAGTCACTCAGTAGATTGGGGGCGAAGAAATGTTTAACTTGTAGATAACAAAAGATCTCAGATCTCGGGAGGCCAAGGGATTCACATAAATGAGCAAAAGACTTGAAAGTATCTGGAGT